GGACGGGCAAGGGCAAGCTACCTTCAACTTCGGCAAGACGGGCAAGAGTGGTGGATTGGAAGGCATGGATGACGTCTTGGCATGTCGTCCATGCTCGGCTTAGTCCAGCTGATGCCTGGCCCTCTACCACGACAGAGAACGTGGCGAGCGCATCCGCCAGTTTCGCGCTGTTTTCCATCCAATCTCCGTGGCCGAGACAGGTGCCGCCTCGGAGCGCGTGCCGACGCGCGGGCGGGCCGGGGCGGCAGAACGCCGCGATGGGGAAGCCAAGGCGACAAGCAGCGACTACGAGCCGGTGCTGGCCATGATGGCCGGTACTGGCCATGCTAGCTCACTCTAGTGGTGTTACCTGTCTTCATCTCACTACACGTTTGAGCGACGGCCATCCGGGCGCGAGCTGACCACGTACACGGTGACAGCAATGGCAACAACGAGCGCAACGGTAACAGCAACGCCGATGGCCAGCCATGCGCCCGATGTGAGGCCAGATTCCGAGCTGCCGGCATTGTAGCTCGCTGGCTCACCCGAGGCGTCGGCCACAGCCACCGGATCGTACTCGAGCGTCCGCGTGAACGACGGGAAGCGCCACGTGACGACAGTGTGGCGGCCGCGGGCGCCGACAGCGATGGTGATGTTGCGGTCGTCGCCGTCAAGGAGAGCAGTCCGTGGGAGATCGAGGTATCCGTCGGAGCCAACGTTGGTCGAGCCAAGGACAAGGCGCGAGACACCAGGGCGGTGCCTGTGCTTCTTCTTGAGGCCACCGACGTGGTCGTCGTCGTCATCGCCACCGCACGGATCGTCACCGTCGACCGGCTTGCCGTCGTCGTCGCTCGTTGCCGTCTCGCGCACAGGCGCTGCACACTCGACCTGATGGCCTGACTGGGCGAGGACGTCCATGGAGAACTTCAGCTCGTTGTCGGTGTCGAGGAACGGCCAGTTCTCGACGGTGAGCGTCCACTTGATCGAGCCGGCCACCACATCAAACGTGGTGTTGGCGTGCTCGGCCACAGTCTCGTGCTCGACGATGAACGTAGTGATGGCAAAGTCAACAGCTGTGCCGGAGACGTCGAGCGTCGATCGGAACGAGATCGAGTCGGCCGTCGAGGGCTGCGAGCCGTCGGCGCCGCCGATGGTTGTCTCGCCGTTGAAGACCCACGTAAAATCCTGCGAGGCAAACGAGGGCACCTTGTTCGTCGTCTTTCTTCCTTGAGCGGTCACCTCGACAAGCTTGCCCATCTTGAACTTGATCCATCGCGTCGAGTTGGCCGGGAAGATCCGAAACTGGCCGGACCGGCCCAGAAACTCCACCGTTGTCAGGTTGCCCGCAACCCGCATATCGCTGCCACCGTCAAAGTCGTCCTGCGCCGCGCATGCGGCTGGTGCAAACAGGGCAAGCGCAACAAGCGTTGCCAGCGCAAACGTCGTCAAAAGGTGCGCAGTCGAAAACATCATCGAGCTGTAGGTGTGCCTGTCGATCAAGGCGGCAAGGGGGGCGGACGTGAGCTTGGTTTTGTGGTGATCGGAAATGACCCGGCGTTGCAGACAACGTTGCTGTAACGTCAGCGGTGTCGTTGCAAAGCAGCTGCAAAGCAGCTGCAATGAATGCTGGAGAGCCAAGGTGGGGTGAGGATGAGGATGGGGATAGGGATCGGGATGGGGATGGAATGTTACTTGCCCTTGCCCTTGGACTTGCTCTTGCTCTTCGACTTGGCCTTGGTCTTGGCCTTGGACTGGCTCTTGCCCTTGCCCTTGGACTTGCTCTTGCCCTTGTCTTTGCCCTTGTCCTTGCTCTTGCCCTTGTCCTTGCCCTTGTCCTTGCCCTTGACCTTCTTGCTGGCCTTACCCTTGCCTTTGCTCTTTCCCTTCTTGCTCGCCTTTCCATCCCCCTTGCCCTTGCCCTTGCCCTTGCCCTTGCCCTTGCCACCGATCGACGATCCCGCGCCGACGGTGGATGCCGGGAGCGCGTCGGTGATGAGGGTGAAAAAGTCGAGGAGCTTGCCAGCATCCTTGACCGCACCCGAGCGCCGGCCGTCGATTTTGGCGATAACCTCCTTGTACATGAGCTCGTTCTTGCGTGCAGGCGAGCACGCCTTGTACACCTTGTGAGCAAGAGCAACAACCTTTTTGTGCTCCTTGGCGGTGAGGACGGCGTCGCCCGGCGCGATGGTGGTGTCCGAGCCCGGTAGGGCGAGGCAGACACGCTTGTACGTCCGCATCACCGCCAGTGCCATGTCGGCAAACTCATCCGGATCGAGGTGGCCGGAGCCATCGCGGTCAAAGGCGCGGTAGGCGTACTCAATCTTCTTGCCCAGCGGCTCGCGGGCAACGAGGGCAATGTACATGGCAATGTCGACAAAGCCGAGCCAGCCGTCAACCTCGTCGTCAAAGGCCGGAAACAGAGCAGCGACTGCAGAGCTATCACCAATCCCGATCTCGCCCATCAGCACGTCCTTCCACGCCTTGTCGTCTACACCGCCGTTGATGGCTGCCACACGCTTGAACATGTTCTTAGCGGCGAGCCAGTCGTTGCGGCCGACTGCAGCCAGATCAGGGAGAGCGCCAGCATGCGGTCGGCCCGCAGTCAGCCGCATTAGAATCGGTGTCCGATGCCAACCCGTCCGCCATCGAGTGACCAGCAGTCATCAGAGGAATGTGAGTACCATACCATGGGAGGGGGTGGGTGGGTGGGTGGGTTGGTGGGGGAGGGGGAGGGGGAGGGGGAGGGGGGTGGGAGGGGGAGGGGTGAGGAGGGCGTACCTGGGGACGACGGGACGGTCTTGGCCACCGTCGACCTGGAGGGTGCGCTGACTGAAACAGTGGAGCCCATGGAGAGCGGATGGGGGCAGAGTGGGGTGGGGTGGTTGGGGTTGTTGCGACTGTGGCTGTGGTCTGCGGTGGCAGTGGTGGTGTGTGGTCGGTAGTGGTGCCGGTGGGTGGTGGTGGGCGGTGGTTTCGGCAGGCGCAGAACAACCGCGCCATGTCCAGCCATCGATTAACTCTCATTGCCACAATCGTACACGATTATCTCTCATTGCCACAATCGTACACGATTATCTCTCATTGCCACAATCGTACACGATTATCTCTCATAACCACAATCGTACACTATTATCTCTCATAACCACAATCGTACACGATTATCTCTCATAACCACAATCGTACACGATTATCTCTCATAACCACAATCGTACACGATTATCTCTCACAACCACAATCGTACACGATTATCTCTCATAACCACAATCGTACACGATTATCTCTCACAACCACAATCGTACACGATTATCTCTCACAACCACAATCGTTCCCTCCCCACTGCTCTCACAGCAACCACCACCAGGTCCCCCCACATGGCGGCAACAGTAACGACGCGACGGGCGACGCTGTCGGACACACCTATCCTGCTGCGGGTCATCGAGTGGGCATACCGTGGTGGCGCGCCTGTCAGCGGCTGGACCGGCGAGGAGCACCTGGTCTCCGGCCCACGCATCACCCAGGACGAGCTCGAGGCCGACATCTCTGCCGCGCTTGCTGCCGATGCCCACCATGTCATTCTTGTGGCTGAGGACAGCTCGCTCGACAACGAGACTTGCGCCGATCGCTTCGGCTCGTCCGTCGTCGGCTGCGTCAAGGTCGAGAAGCTCGACCGCGTGCCCGAGCCCGACGACGTCGTCGCCGAGGCTGAGGTCGGCCTCTTTGCCGTCGATCCCACCCTTCAGGGCCGCGGTGCGGGCGGAATCCTGCTCGCTCAGGCCGAAGCCGCCGCCGTTGATGTCCTTGGCGCCTCGCATGCAGTCATCCACGTCCTCAATGTCCGCGATGACATCCTCGCCTGGTACGATCGCAAGGGCTACGTCGCCAACGGCAAGACAATGCCGTTCCCGCCTCCAGGCGTCGCGTCCCGCTCCAAGCTCAAGCCCGCCGCGACGAACGTCCACTTTATCGAGCTGACTAAGCCGCTGCTGCCGTCAGAGCCTTGACGATCGTAACCGCGCCGCGCTGCCATCAAAACGTGTTGCGCGCCCGGACCTCCTCCAGCCGGCGCACAATCTCCACGGGCGTCGACTCGATGGCGTCGGCGATCTCCCACTGGAGCGTCGAGTCGATCGACATAAACTGCTCGCAGAGGTCGCCGTCGACCACGTCCTTGACCGGCACATAGTACGAGCGGAATGCGAGGTGGTCACGCCCGCCGAGCGGCGGGACTCGCTGCCGCATGTGGAGCTCGAGGTGGAGGAAAAAGTCGACGTCGTCACGAGTGACAAACGGCACTAGCGCGCCCACCGCCCCGGCAATTGTCGAGTACAGCACAGCCTTGTCCGCCCCCGAGAACGACTGCAGCGCCGCCGCCGTGATCGCGGTCACAGGCTCGCCGGCGTAAAAGTGGTTAACCACGTCAAAGTGCGCAATCGAGTCCGAGCTACCCGTCCCCAGCGCGTCGTCGTCCGGCAGCCGCGCCACAAACAGGTTTCCGAACCGGTCGCCGCACACCACTGTCGACCCGTCGATCATGTGCGCCCGCGACATCGCTCGCGGCAGCGTGTCGTCCGCAATCAGCCGCAGCCCATGCAACGCCGGCTCCCACGCCAGCGCCCGAATCGAGTCGCGCGCGTCCGCCACAACCACCCGGGACGTCTCGGCGTCGGAGCTGATCGCCACAACAAGCGACGGGAAGCCCTCCAGATGGGTCTTGCGCAGCAGCCGCGTCTTGCCCATGTCGAACACGACAAGCTGGTTGCCAGCGCCCGCAAAAAGGAGCCCACCAAAGGCGTGCAGCGCGGCAGGCAGGCCCGGCACCGCCGTGTCATGAACATGCACCAACCCCACCGCGTCGCCCTCAGACACAAGCTCAAACGTCCGCAGCAGGAAGCTCGTTGCTGTCCGCGGCGGCTCAAAGTCCACCGCCACGCCTGCAACCGCAAAAATCCGCGACGGGTCAGAGCTAAACGTCACCACTTCAAGCGAGAGCAGCGCCTCGTTTCCGGCGCCGCTGCTCTCCACGCTCAGGTTTCCCCACCAGAGCAGCGACGAGTCCGAGCCGTCAAAGAGCGCGAGGCCTGCCGCCCATGCTCCCGCCGCCGCCGGCCGACCCGGCTCAATCCGCTCGCAGCGTGCACGGCTCGCCTCCAGCGCCTCGGGATCGCCTGCGTCGAGGCCCGCCGCCGCCGCAAGCTCCTGCAGAGTGTACGCCCGCGCGTCGGACATGCCCACAAAAAACAGCTGCGACGCCGGGTGGTGGACCACAGCCCGCGGCGTGTACGGCAGAGGGTGCGGGTCAGCGTTGAACGACTGGTCGATCCGCTCGAGCGAAAAGATCTTGAGCTCGTTGCCGGCAATGCCCACCAGGCCGATGCCAACTAGCGCAGACGCAAATGATGCCGCGCCCTTGAGCCCACCGTATGAGAGCGGGAGAAGCGCAGACTCGGCTGGCGAGCCCGGCTGGTGGAAGAGCATGTACGACCGGCTCGAGCCGAGGTGGACCAGCGGCCGCCCGCCAAGCTCCGCCAGGGAGACAGACACCGGCTCCGGGCCGAGGAACCGGTTGGCTGTGTTGGAAATCGCGCCCGACGATGGGTCCACGTACGAGTGCGAGACAACTCCGTTGCTCCCGCCCACAACAAGGTGCACCAGCCCAGCCGCAGACCACTCGACCATCAGCCGCAGCTGGCTAATCGCCACAGACGTCGGGGTTGTCGAGAGCACCAGCAGCGACTTTTGCACAAACGGCGCCGCAGGATCCAGCGAGAGCAGCCGGACCGTGTTGTCAAAGAGCCCAATGACCGCAAACCGCGACTTGGCCCGCCCGGGCAGTAGCGGCTCCACCCCGAGGCACGTCAGCTCGTCTGCAGGGCCGAGCTGAAGCTCGGCGCCGGCCGTCTGGCTCAGCACCCCGGTCACGTCCAGCTCAAAGAGGAGCACAAGGCCCGATGAGAGTGCCACTACCGCCTGCCGGCGGTTGATCGCTGCGTGCGTGATCGTCGTTCCGCCCGGCGGCTTCCACTCGGACACGCTTCCGTCGACCGCGAGCTGGAGCAGCGCCCGTGCGTGAACCTGGACATGCACTCCGTTGGCGAGCGTGCCGGCCTCCAGCGTCGGCGCGTCCAGATAGAACCCAGCGTCGGTGCACTCGGAGACCGTGTCAGTGACCCGGAGGACAAGCGAGGCGTTGGTGAACGAGAAGATGAGAAAGGCCGTCGAAACGGCAAGGTGTGCTGCCTGCTCGTCGTCGTCGTCGCCACCACCGCTGCCGTCGGCTGGTCGAGGCGCGTTCGTTTGGGTGAGCGAAAAGACCGCCACTGGCGTGCCCGGCAGCGGCGAGGCCACCAGCTCCGAGACGGCGATGCCGTGCCGGAGAACATTGAGCGCGGCCGCACCGGTCCTCGCGCCGCACCCGACCACCAGCTGCGGCACACCGTCGCCGGCAAGGTCCGCAACTGCAAAGTCCATCAGCGGCGAGAGCGACGGCAGCGTGTCCAGCGGGTAGAGGTGCACAAGCTCGGCGGCCGGCGTAAACTCGGTCTGGTCCGGCGCGTCGGGAGCTGGCGGCTCGCCGAGTGAAAGGAACTCGTACAGCGTCGGCGGGCTCGACTGCGAGGCCGCAAAGAGAAAGCCCGACGAGAGGATGGCGAGGTCGGCAGCAAGGGGGATCGAGTCAAAGTACGAGACCCGAAGGCGGGTCGCTTCGTCGACCTCGTACTCGAGCGAGACTCGGAGGAGGTGGCCTGACTCGGTGAGCACAAGCATGAAGAACATCGACGGCTGGAGGTGCGAGGCGTGCGCGACGACAAGGTCGGCGCCGCATGGCGCCGGAAACGCCGCGTGGAGCGCCGGGTAGCCCTCGTTCATCCACGCCATTCCGCCCTGGTACGCCACCAGCACACCCGATGGACCAAACTCGCCGCCAGGCACCGGAATGAGCTCGTGCGCAGAGTGCGGAAGCGGCAGCGGGTCATGCCGGACAACGTGGTTGAGGCCGAGGTCGAGCTCGTAGAACGCAAGCTGCAGCGGCGGCGGAGACGACGGTACAGCCGCAGCATGAGCAGCTGCCTCGTCGTATGGCGCCTCGATGGCAGCAAAGAGTGGGTTGTTGAACGAGTTGTCGAGCGCCACCAAGGCAAAGGTGGCCACATCCGGCATGTTGGCCTCGACCGGCGACGAGATGGTGAGCTTGCCAGCCGAGTCGCGATTGAGAATGTACACCAACTTTGCGCCTTCGAGAGCGCCGATAATAGCCGCGCGACCACGCGGCTCGGCAGCAAGGTGGTATGATGGCGACGCCCGCCTCAGGCCCGACTTTGCGTACGTCTCGCCATGGACACGTTTCCAGCCGGCCGATGATGCCTCGTACGCAAGAATGATGAACTTGCCTGAATCCGAGGCAATCAGTAGGTGATCCACGGCCGAGCCGGTGAGCCGAAAGGTGGCCAAGTTGGTGATGAGGCCAAAGGCCTGCGTCGCACACATCAGCTCCAGTGCTCCGCTCTCGGCGTGGGTGGTGTACAGCGAGAGGCTCCGTCCCGTCGTCGTCACCAGCTCCGACTTGCCCTCGCCCGAGAACGAGCCCGTCACGCAGTGCGGGATGTACGTAGGCTGGGTCAACGTAAGGTGGTACAAGTATGGCATGGTGGCTAGGGTGGTGGTACGGGGGCGGTGGGTGGGTGGGGTGGGTGGGGTGGGTGGGTGGGAGGGGGGAGGGGAGAGAGGGGTGGGATCGGCCAAGACCGACTCTCACGAGGCGGACTGGCGGGCTCGGACGGCTGGCGACGGACTGATGAGAGTTGATTCAGTGAGGTGGAAAGGGGGGGAGGGTCAAAGTAAAAGCAAAAGGAGAGGCGAGTGGCGAGAGGATGGGTCAGTCAGAGGGCGGAGGGTGGGTGTACGGGTCACGATGGAGCTGCTGTGCCGCAGAGCCGGTCCCAGATCTTGGAGAACTTGCCAAAGTGGAGCCGCCCGTTGCGGTGATGAAGGTCATGGAAGACGGCCCCTCCCCACATCGCGCCCGGCATCACGTTCTCCAGCGAGAATGGCCAGTCGTAGCCCGAGTGCAGGTCGCAGAGAAGGAGGGTGATGGTCGGGACATAGACCATGCGGGCCATCGGATGCGCGCCGGTGACGTTCACCGCCACAATCGAGCACGCCACATCAACCGCCTGCTCGACCAGCGTCAGCCGAACAGTCTCGATTGCTCGCTGCAGCGCGTGGGTATGGTGCTTGGCGTGGAGCTTGTACAGCGCTGGCACAGCGTGCATCGCCCGATGGCAGCAGAAAAAGAGCGCGTCATAGACAAGGAGACAGCTCAAGACCTGGCCCACTAGCCGCCACAGGCTAGGACACTTCCCCGCAGCCATCAACTTGCCGGCACGCCGCTGGAAGCAGAGATCAAAGACCACCAAAGGCATCAGATACGCCAGCAGCTCCTGTGCGCGGCCGGTCGACTCAATCACCCACGCCTTGTTCGACACCGCAGTGCGATGGATTCGGAACGGGCGCGTCATCGCCACAGGAAGCACGTTGTCCAGCACATAGTACATGCCCAGCCAGACAAGAAACGAGACCGTGGCCAGAATCGGCTCAAACGAGTCGAGCCGAAAGAGTCGCGCGGCTGCATCCTCCGACGTCGACAACCGCAACCAGCTCGCCTCCAGCCAAGCGTCCACCGCACCCGTGTACACCACGGCTACTCCAACAGCGGCCATCCAACCTGCCCGGCATACGTTCACCGTCACTATGCTCCGCCCCAGCGTCGACTGCGTCACGGCCGGCTGCTCGCTCGCTCTCGCAGGTGGCGTCATCCAGCAAAAAGGGGGGAATGGCGCGAGAGGAGTGTGCCTTTACCGGGACATCTGCTCGCCGCCGTGTCTTTCAATTCGACCCGAAGCCGGCTGGACTGATGCGCGAGTCGGGCTTGGGGAAAGATGACCGACAGGGTCAATGCAGGGGCGTCGGGTTGATGGCAGGCCTTTGTTCGCGCGATTGGGGCCTGGGTGCATGCATGCATGCATGCAATGCAAGGAGGGTGTGTGTTTGGGCAAAAAGAAAAAAGAATGCGTTACTCGGTATTCCCGTGTGGTCCCCCACCACAGTACTAACCAAGCCTCATGCTGCTTGACTTCCGAGAGCGAGACGGGATCGGGTATTTTCAGCATAGGATGAACGCATTCGAATCCTGCCAGTGTGTGGGGAGATGGTGTGGTGGAGGACTCGGGGGCGGGCGGTCGCCAAATGGGTTGCGATCATCGCGTGCGATCGCAGGCTCTTGGGAGGGCTGGGCTTGCAAGCGATGGTCTCGACTCTTGCTTTACACACATCATGCAAGCAACGTGTTGGATCCACACAACTGAGGACCAAATAGCTCCCGCTGTACTCTCCAGCGCACTCACCAGCATCGCCTTGTACGCAACTAAATGAGCAGGCGCCGCAGCGAGTCCACGAGGTCGTCCATGTCCTGATCGTTAGCGTAGGCTGCGCAGATGACGGCCAGAGAGGGGTCGCTGGCCTGCCACAGCGTGGCAAGATGGCCGCGCTCGGCGTCGGAGAAGACCTGCGACGCCGACTGGAGTGCGGCCATGACCTCGGGTGTCGGCTCAAACGCTGCCGGCGCCAGCGGCGCAGTCGCATGTACAGCAGGCTGTGGCAGACGCAGCTCGGCCTGGGTCGATGCCGGAGGAGCTTGGTCGGAAGGCAAAAAGTGGACAAAACCGTGAATCAGTTGCTGGTGGCTGGCAAACAGCTGACAGACGTCTGCGTAGACCTCGGCGATCGACTTGGTCTGCTGCTGGTACCCATGCAGGAGTGCCAGGAACGAGGTGTAGACCTCGGGCTGCTCAGCAAAGGTCTCCTTGATGTTCTTGACATATTCCACCGCTGTATCAAACAAGGGTATCGATCCGTCCGGCCCACCGACCGAAGCCTGCCCGTCCGACTCCAGCCCGTCATCGCCATCGTCAGATGACTCCGTCTCGATGCTGGGCAGAGCCTGGCTAGCATCCGGTCCAGAGCGCTGCCCATCCTCAACGATGCGGTAGTCGGGCGGCAGAAAGACGTTAAAGCCAGCGATGAGATGCGGGTCGTGTGCAAAGAGCTCCTCGACTTTGGCAATGACGCCCGGCGTGTCGATGGCTCGACTCTTGAAGTCCTTCAAGATGTCCAGGAACGCGTTGTACCGCCATGGCTCGCTTGTGTTCGCCTTCTTCACCGCATCCAAATACTCCAGAGCACTCTCCACAGACGCCATTCCCCGCTCTCTCCAGTCCCTTCTCTCGGCGAGTCAGCTATGGCTCTATGGCTGTCGGTTGTCGACGTGGAAGGGGAGGGGAGTGCCACCAGCAGAATGGAAGCACGCTGTCAGCCGGCACTGCTTGCATGCCCACACCACCATCGCCACCACCATCACCTCGATCACGACCATGGTCAACCCCCTTTACCACCCACATCATGTCTTCTTGCCTAGCAACCCTATCCTGGCGCGCCACTCTGGCGCTGTCGTGGTGCTGCGGTCCGATTGGTGCGGCAGCGGGGCAGCCGGACGGACAGGAGACGGGCGACGGACGACCGCTTGTAGACGACGGCCACTTGTCGCCACGCTGGGGCGGGAGAGCTTGCGAGAAGAGCGAGAAGAGCGAGAGCAAGCAGGTTGTCAAGTGCAAGGAACATCTCTCATGTCCGACAGTAGCTCAGCAGGGCTTGTGGAGGCACTTGCTCATGCCCTTGTCGGTGGCGCCTTGCTCAAGGCGGGCCGCTCGGGCAAGCCCCACTTTCGCCAATTCAGGCTGGCCAGAGGTAAGTGGGGATGGGAAGGGAGGAAGGGAGGGGAGGGGGAGGGGGGGGGGGGGGGGGAGGGGGGGGCGGG